TCTTAAACAATGTCTTAGTTTCCCTACATATCACACTGCACACAATCTTATCTCTATTTGCAAACTCACTCGTGATAACAACTGCACTGTTGAATTTGATGCTCATGGTTTTTTTGTGAAGGATCGTCAGACGGGGACCTTGATGCATCGGTCCAATAATGTGGGTCCCCTCAAACCTGCCCAAGCGCATGTCTCATCCGTAGATCATCAAACCTGGCATCGTCGTCTCGGACATCCAAGCCATGCAGTCCTTCGTGGAGTCTCTCATAATTTTTCTTTATTTATAAATTATCAACAAACTCTTTATCATGCATGTCAGTTGGGAAAGCATGTGCGCCTCCCATTTTACTCTTCTAGTCGTGTTTCTTATTTTCCGTTTCAACTTTTGCATACAGACTTATGGCAATTAATCTCCTGTGCCAAGCATTACTGGTTTTAAATTTTATATGTTGTTGTTGGATGATTTTTCTCATTATCTGTGGGTGTTTCCTTTAAGATATAAAAGTGATGCTTTTACTCACTTAAATTCTTTTGTGGCATATGTGAAAAATCATTTTAACACAAAAATCAAAGCTGTTCAAAGTGACAACGGAACTGATTACAGAAACTCACCTCTTAAAAATATTTTTAACTCTTTAGGCATTATTTTCCGCTTCTCTTGCCCTCACATCAGTCAACAAAACGGACGTGCCGAACGAACCATTCACACGATCAATAACACCGTCCGCTCACTCCTCTTCCAAGCCAACTCCCCCTTGAATTCTGGGTCGAAGCACTGTACATGGCTGCCCATCTTTTCAACATCCTCCCCACCACTACTTTAAACAATCACACTCCTCACTCCGTTCTCTACAACTCACCCCCCCACTACTCCCACCTTCGCGTGTTTGGATATCTCTATTACCCCAACATCTCAGCCACCACTCCACACAAACTTGCACCACGCTTTACCCGATGCATCTTCCTTGGCTATCCCTCGAACAAACGCGGTTTTAGATGTCTTGATCTTGAAACGAATAAAATCATTGTCTCCCGCCACGTTGTCTTTGACGAACACACCTTTCCATATGCCCACTGTAATGCCCCGAAACCCGGCCTATCAGAATTAATTAATTAGAAATAATTAATTAATTATTGAGATGGACTCGGTGGAAATTACACATATATCTTTCGTTAGACAATAAAGATTATACCGTTGTGTAGGGTTCGACGGATCGAACCTAACGGTGAAATCGGATTCGGATTTGGAGTCAGTGGGCCCGGAAGGTGCGTTTGGGCCAGGTACGTTTAGTTAATACGGAACCCAAAACCCCAGAAGTATAAATATACTCCTGGCACGTCTAAAACCCTTACGCCCCATACAATTGTTACGTAACTTCTCCCCACTCTCTCACATCTCTCGTTTCTCTCGATCGAGGCAGGAGCGACGCACGAAGGAGAAAAAGAGAAGAAGGAGAAGAAGAGAAGGAAGAGGAAGAATCTGACGCCGTTGTTCGTGAGTACTATCTCGTGGTTTAATCGTCGAATTCAAGGTGAGTACGTGGTCATCTAACGTATGGTTATATTCGTAGGTTTGAATCTTACGTCCGTAGAATCGTTACGGTTGATTTATGTGGACTATACGTAAATTATGTTTTGTGTATGTTATTTATGATTTGAAAGGCATGAGTTGCGTTGGAATGATAGAGGATAGGTTAGGTAATGTTAGATTAATGCTTTGTGATCTGTTATGTTTGTTTTCACTAGGTGCTGCCTAAGGGACGGAATTGGAGCTGGTGCAGGCCTGGGTTCGCTGCGACGGACGGTAGGTGGGTACCGTTGACACGGTACCTGGCTACCGCCAGCCTCCTTGGTTTCGTTCTTCTCTGGCAGTACCTACTTAGGACGGGACCCAGGTACCGTGGGGACGGTAGGCTCTATCGTTTGATCGGTGGAGGCTACCGTGATGGGCTACCAGAGGGAAACCCAGCTGACACGGACGGTACCCCTGTACCGTGGGACGGTACCCTGGTGCCGTGGGGCCGGTAACCCCCTACCGCCAAGGGGTACCGTGAGGTACCTGAACCGGTCTGCATTTTGTTGGTTGCGTCGAGGATTGATTCCGAGACTTTGTGTGTTGCATGACGGTAAACGTGGGAAGCAATGCCCAGTGTTAGGCCGCTAATTGAGTGTATTGAATATGATGGAATATGTGTATGATGCATGAACATGTGTGCTACAAACTGATGACGTTTAAAGCATGAAATACCTAGAACAAACCTAGGATCTGACCTGGATGGAAATAATGGCTAGTCATGTCATAAGTTAGTAAGTTAGAGTCATGTGGTACCTGCTGGGTCCAATGACTGTCCAGGTAAAAACGTGTACACGGGGATCTAAGAAATATCGTTCGGAAGGGGACAGGGATCTCACCCACCCAACGAGGAACTCCCCGAGTTGGTTTGAGCTTGACCTTCGTTCCGAAGGGGAAGGTCATGACTCCCATAGGCAAGTCGTATACAGTTAAGCTTTTACCTAGTATAGGTTAAGAGCCGAGCACAGAATGAAAGTAAAACAAAGTAAACAAAGAAGAAAGTATTCTTTATTATATACTGTGTCCATTAACATCCTATGATGACATGTTTGCGTATGTATGTAATACACTGAATGATGTGATGAGTATGTGAGCATGATTGTGTGCATGATATCGTATGAGGATATGGGCTAGTAGGATCATCTATGGGTGTGGCTATATGTTAGATATTTCTCACTTAGCTTCAATGCTGAGCGTGTAGCCCTTTTTCCTATTTGCTACACGTAGGTAATCCAGGTAATGATGAGCTTGGAGCCAATCCCGGAGGGCGATGAGGAGGCTAAGATGTGCGTGGCGGTGTTTGACGACTTTGAACTCTTATTAATTACTTAAATAACTTATTACTATTTCGGGCATGATTCCCAAGTTGTGTTTTGGATTATGAATTTTAGCTTCCGCAACCATTTGATTTACTCTGATGGATAATTAAATATTGTTTCGAATTAAATGTTTTAAATTGATTTGGAAAATTAATGTGTTTGAATACCAATTTGGTAACAACCCGATCTGCGGATCCTTGTATTCGGGGCGCACGGGGTGGGGTGTTACACCCACCCCCTCACTCCTCCCGATTATCAATTCTTGGATTCCACAGATGTCGAACCTCACCCCTTAACCCACCCCGCCACCTCTTCCACGGTAGTACCCCTCCCAAGCCC